CTTGGAAAGGAAAGTGTTGTCCATTTCTTTGGAAACAAAACAAGAAAATACTAAAAAGCCGATATTTTACGTGTGAACGGAATAGACTGATAGATTTATCATCTAGTGTTTGTCAAACTTAAATATCTCCAAAGATAAGCTTTATTTTTATTTCTGTCGTTTTGATTGATTTCACAAGATTCGTATAAAATATTGGCACATGCTGTTGACGAGCAAATGAGTTTCCTTAGTAAAAGTTTCTCTGTGCTCATTTCATCTTCACATCGTGTCTGACCTCCACCAAATATTGGTGTATGCAGCTCTTTTTAGCAAGCGCACAGTGTTCTATAGTAAAAGGCAAAATAATAGTGAAATTCAAGTCCTTTCTGTGTACACTGAGCTATCTTTTGATATCTAGGTATTTAGCTACTGTATCATCCTACACTATTCTCATTCTGATGGGAATAGGCTGAATAGTGGTGGCGTAATTCTAATGTCAAATTGGTTGTTCTTGTGTGCCTATATTTCACTTGTTTCATGTGGCCTTCAGCTTTCATCGGGAACTTAACCTGTGTTATAGGGACAATTAAGCAGGTGTCTGAGTCCCCCATCATCTCTTGAAACAAATATACTGCACATTAAAAGACTTTGAGCTAGTTTTTTCCCCCTCTATTCCTCTACAAAATAACGAGAACGTGTCCTTGTTTGCGCAATTAGTAGTCTTATTGTTTTGACTCCTCGTAGCTTGATTCAATAAATGTTTTATATTGTTCTTTCTTTATATCTTAAGCTATAAGATCTAAGTCATTGATTTGGAAATATGCTTGTTATAAGGTTCTAATTGCATATGACCCACGAAAGGTTAACTTACAAATGGATTCAGATTCATATTACCAATGACTGTGCTGATAGATGGTTAGTTCTAATGGAATAAATAGATTGTCTCGAGAATGTTTTAGTCCTTTAGCTTGTTTATAATTTAAATTTTTGTTCATTTCTCCTTCCTCTACGTTATTTGGGATGTCTCAAACCTGGGAAGTACAGGAAGGTAGGGGTGTTGTATTTTTGAATCACTTTTGGTGAAGCAAATTGCCTTCATTTATTTTCTTGTCCTTGCCTTTTATTATTTTTTCCTCTCTGGGGACGTACATTCCAATTTATGTGGTATAAATAGATACAGACAGGCGAAGACCATGGCAATAAGTTTCTATTCATAATATTATTTGGCTCATAGAAGGAACCAATAATGTATATCATATTATTTATTTTTCATAAATATGACTGCACTTTTGCAATTACTGGTGTAGGTAACATCAAGTGCAAGTTCTTCTGGGGTTACAGTTCAGCCTCCTCTTCCTATTCAGGCTGTGCAATTTGCTATTGCTATGCTGGTCATGGATGCGTGGCAGTACTTTGTGCATCGTTACATGCACCAAAACAAGTTTTTGTACCGTCATATACACTCTCAGCATCATAGGCTGGTGGTCCCTTATGCCATTGGGGCCCTTTACAATCACCCACTGGAAGGTCTCCTACTCGACACAGTTGGTGGTGCTATCTCTTTCCTCGTTTCAGGAATGACTGCACGTACTGCTGTTTTCTTCTTCTGTTTTGCTGTGGTCAAAACTGTTGATGATCATTGTGGACTTTGGCTGCCGGGTAATATCTTCCATATGTTTTTCCAAAACAATACTGCATACCATGACATTCATCATCAACTCCAAGGTACAAAATTCAACTATTCCCAGCCATTCTTTTCCATCTGGGACAAATTGCTTGGAACTTATGTGCCATACAGACTCGTGAAGCGACCTGAAGGGGGTTTCGAGGCAAGGCTGATAAAAGACTCAGTACAGTGACCTTAAAAGCATGTTTGGTACGCAATGTTGGACAAAATTAGCTTGCTTATTTTTCTTTCTTATTACTGTCTCGTAGTGTCCTCCAGCATAACAAACATGCAACAAGTCTTAGTGTTATTTAATTTGTCGTGTAGGATTTCTTGCGTAACAAACATGCAGCTGTGCCACTCTTGCTGAATATGCAACATGTTTGTCATTGAAAGCTCTATATCTTTGAGGGAGTTGAAATTTGCCGCTGATATTTTAAAATTTTCATTATTTCCCAACCCGGTATTCTCCAATATTTTCCTATTTGATTTGTCATGTTGACTTCATCATTAACATACCAATGAATTGTAAGTTCATTATCTCTGGGCTATGAGCTGTACAGTAGCATTCTTTTTTGTTCATAGATTTCTGGGATATGACATTCTTGTATTGAAAATTCAAAATCTGTACTTTCCATATTCAGGGTCGCTTGTTTGGGCTTTTCAAAAGCCAAAAGCTGCTTTGAGCTTGTTTGAATACTTTTATGGTAGTGCTTTGTCAGATTAAAAGAGTTTTTAGAGAAAGTTGATCAAGTTGGCTTCTCAAGAAGTTCTACAAGAAACAAAAGCAGAAACACTATCAAACGAACCATTTCGGCTTTAACTACAATGATTGATGATTTGAGTTTGTAATAACGTTGATTAACATACTCCTAGCCATATCATTGGTAACATAGTTGGATGAGAAGATTTTTAGTATAAGTTGAATGACTGTACACACTGTATGAAAGAAGGAAATAAATCTTCACCAATAATCTTTACAAGAGCAAAACCCTTCCCTGAATCTGTGGAATCGAGTTCGATCCCTCACAATAATTTCCCGATCATACAATTTCGAAATAAGTTTAATTACTACATGACAATCACCACATATTCTAAGATTCTTGTTGACACTTATGGGGCTCCCATCATCAGTACTAATCAAACCGAAAGCCACAGCCAACTTCTCACTGTGATAACACAAGGCATTCTCCTTCTCCTCGTGTCCTATATCGTGCAACACGCAGTTAGTTTCCGGCACATACCCGAATTCCCTAATCCTAAACCTAATCTCCTCGAGCTTCGTATATATTTGTTTCCAATCCGGGTGACTTTGATCACCGTTATAAAACTTGAATATCGTACCATTGATCTCCATATAACTAAATCCAGGCACCTTCTTTACATCCCTGTTCTTCATTGCCTCTCTTACCCTCCCTACATCATTCCACCTCTTGTGTGCGGCATAAACATTTGACAACAATACAAAATCCCCACAATGACTTGATCCCATTTCCACAAGTTTCCTTGATGCCTTCTCTGCCATTTCTATATTCCCATATATCTTAGAAGCCCCTAGTAATGTTTGCCAAAGAACTGCATCTGGGAACATTGGCATGGACTCTATAATCTCATATGCCTCGTCTAATCTCCCTGCTCGACCCAACAAATCCACGACAGTGCCATAGTGCTTCACATTTTTACTTACTCCACGTTCCTCCATCAACTCAAACAACAACACCCCCTCATCCACAAGACCAGCATGGTTACAGGCGCACAATGCTGCTAAATAACTTACACTATCGGGCTCTTGCTCTGGCTCAACCCCAGCTCCACCCATGAAGTTGAACAGCTCTAGCGCTTTCACTCCATCGCCATGGATTGCAAAAGCCATGATCATAGTGTTCCACGTTACAAGATTTCTTGAACACTTCATGTTATCGAATACTTGATACGCCTTCTCCAAGAACCCACATTTCGCATACATGTCAATGACAGCATTGCACACGATCACGTTTTTGTCCAAGCTTTGCATCCTAATGTAATCAAAAACTTTGTCGCCCTCTTTGATTGCGCCCAGCTGTGCACATGCGGAGAGCGCACCTAGAACAGTGACCTCATTCGGCATCATATCACATTGATAATTCTTCCCTTCTATCATTTCCTTGAACAATTTCAAAGCTTCGTGAGGCTTATTCCCCTGCGCCAAACCCAAAATCAATGCGTTCCAACTAGCAATATCTCTCTTCGACATTTCATCAAACATGTTGCGCGAATTTTCCAAATCACCACATTTTGAATACGCATCAAGTAAGGTGGTCTGCAGCAAAACATCAGCATCGAATCCAAATTTAACCACATGAGCATGCATTTGAAGCGTCTCCAACTGGGCCAACGCTCGCGCACAAGCTTTGAGGAAAAAAGAGCAGGTGAGAGCGTCGGGCTTGCACGGAGCACGTGACATGGATAGGTACCACGTGACGGCATCTATCGGGTGATGACTCTGAGCATAGCCGCGGACGATGGCGTTCCAGTCGTTAGTAAAAGGGTGGGGGACACGACGGAAGATCACGGCGGCATAAGGGAGGCTTCCCGCGGCCGAAGAGGTGGCGCAGAAATCAAGGAATTTTGCGCGGGAGGGGTAGGATTTTAAAAGGCCAGAGGTTAGGAGGTGCGCAAGGAGCTGTTTGGTGCGCGAAAAAGAGGTGCATTTGGGTAAGAGCGACTCAACATAGGCCATGCGATAACAACAATGGGGCCTCAAAGGGTTCGCATTCATAGTATATGTCCTTATTGGAGAGAATTTTACGGAGGTCACCGAACTTACGGCTTTGTTTCGTTTTAGACATTCGACTTCAATTTGTTGTAAGTTGATCACCTAACTTATATTTTTAGTGTAATTATCTACAAGTTTACCCATTGGAGGTGAAATATGCCAATTGGTGATGTTTGTGTTGTTTTTTGTTAGGATATGTATTGAGTTATGGAAGCGTGTGCTGCTATCTAATTTTTGTTAATTCAAAAGAAATCGAGTAGGTTGTGGTAACGATGATAGTGAAATTTTTGATAAAAATTAATAATTGATAACACAATATGTTACTTTTTGAGAAACGGTGATTTTTTAATTTAAAAAAAATAGTAACCTACAATAACATATATGTTACTCTAACCTATATAACTTGTAAAAAATGTTGGTTTTTAATGAAAAATTAAAATATTGAATAAATGATAAGGATGTGTCTTTAAAAAATTATAAAATGAGGTTAATGTAAAAATATTTATTTTTATTTTTGAGAATCAAAAAGGGTTGGCTAAATTATGGTTTTGAGGTTTTCTATATCCTATCTATCCCATCTCGCTCAGTGAACGAGTGAAAATGGCTGCTAATTCTTTAGCGAGGAGTTTCGTGTTCTGCTGCAATCAAAGATCATACCTTTACCACTTCCCCATTCTTCTTCGTTCTCGCGCCATCCAGCGCCGCCACCCTTATCTATGGCGGCTTTCATTACGCTATTCTTCAACTCAATTTGTCCAAGAATCGACTGACGGGGACGCCGCAGATGTAAGGAGTAGGCTCAACGTGGTGAACATTCTCGAAGAGAGAGGCCTCCTGGAGTCCCTCACCAGCGATTCTCTCAGGACCGCCTGTTCTGATCCCAGCCACCCTCCCCTTAGGGTGTACTGTGGGTTCGACCCTACTGCTGAGAGTCTCCATTTGGGTAACCTCCTTGGTATAATAGTCCTTTCTTGGTTCCTCCGATGTGGGCATAAGGTTGTTGCTCTTGTAGGTGGTGCCACAGGTCGCGTAGGAGATCCCTCCGGCAAGAGCCTTGAGCGGCCCGAGCTTGACCTTCTCGCCTTGGACAGGAATGTTTCTGGGATTTCGACTACTATTAGCCGGATTCTGGGTCGGAATCACGGAGCTAAGTGTTTTGCTATTTTGAATAATTACGACTGGTGGAAGGATGTTAAGCTGTTGGATTTTCTCAAGGATGTAGGGAGATTTGCGAGGATGGGTGTAATGATGTCGAAAGAGAGCGTGCGGAAGAGGCTCGAATCGGAGCAGGGAATGAGTTACACTGAGTTCACATACCAGTTACTGCAGGGCTACGATTTCCTTCGACTTTTTCGAGATGAAGATGTTAGTGTTCAGATTGGAGGGAGTGATCAGTGGGGTAATATCACTGCAGGAACAGACCTTATTCGTCGAATTCTTCAGGCAGAAGGATCCTTTGGGCTCACATTCCCTCTTCTCCTCAAGAGTGATGGGACCAAATTTGGCAAATCAGAGGATGGTGCCATTTGGCTCTCCCCTTCTCTCTTGTCCCCTTACCAGTTCTATCAGTATTTGTTCTCCGTCCCTGATTCGGACGTTGTGAGGTTTCTAAAGATTCTTACTTTTTTGAGCATGGAGGAGATTGCGCAGATTGAAAGGGAAATGCAGGAGCCGGGCTATGTCCCCAACACTGCTCAGCGCAGGCTCTCGGAGGAGGTCACTCTTTTTGTCCATGGTGAAGAAGGTCTTGACGAGGCGCGCAAGGCTACTGAAGCCTTAAGACCGGGGGCAGAAACCAAATTGGATTGGAAAATCATCGAGGCCATTGCTGAGGATGTTCCGTCCTGCTCCTTACCTTATGATAAAGTCTTGAATATTTCTCTCTTGGACCTCACTATCTCTATCGGTTTGCTTGAGAGTAAGTCGGCTGCACGTCGTTTGCTCAAGCAAGGGGGTCTTTACTTGAATAATAGTAGAGTTGATAGAGAAGCAAAGAAGATTGAGGCTGATGACATTGTTGATGGCAAAGTAATCCTTTTATCGGCTGGGAAGAAGAACAAAATGATAGTGAGAATAGCTTAATTGGTTTTTTGTTGAATTTCTTGCAGTAGTAAGTCCATGAAAAGATTTATAGTTTTTTTCTTTTAAACCACAAATTCAGTCTTTATATACCATAAATATCCGTCTGGATACGGTACCATTTCTTATATGTTAATCATCAATTATCAGCCATATACTTCTTGTATGCCTTTTTTTTTTCCTATATTGCTTGCTCTGGCAAACATATTGAAGTGATAATGAACGGATTGATATTTTGATAAGGAGATGTAGATAAAGGGGTGATATGTATGCCATTTGGCTGACATTCTCCCCAAGGGACTTCCAAGACAATCTATAGTGGACCTTACAAGCAATCTGAGAATGAGGAATAGCTTGCTGCAGATTGTGGAAATATCTAGGAGATTTGAATTTGACATCGTAGATAGAGACTATAGTGAGTGGATTTATTTTAGGCAGTGTCCTTGGACATTTGTTTCTTGATTGCTCTTAAAAAAATTTCCTGTTTTTTCTCAATATTTTTATTGATTTCTACTTTTTATGTATATAATCACAATGTACTCTATTTTATCAATAATGAAAATACATCCTTTCAGAGTTCTGTTCAAAGTTGTTCCTCAACAAGCTCGTTCATGTTTGCTCTGAATCTCTTGAATGCTTTGAAACTTATTGTCACATTTAGAAAAGGACACCTTGCTAGTCATACTGAGCTATTAGTGCCCAACTGATAAACAAACAATTAGGAACCTTAAAGAATTGAGGGTCAAATGCATGTTTGATATCCTTCGACATTCTTAATAATATGGTTGCTTTACTTAAGTACTATGGACCTTTTTCTTGTATTATAACAAATATAATTATGAATTATGACTTCTTGACTGACTATAAATTTAGTGATGATATCTAAGAGCTGTAGCACAGATTTTGTAAATTAAGATGCTTACAGCCCATGTATATGGACTCTTGAGCTTTGGAAAATTTATAGCCCTGAAGTTGTGTGAAGTATTTCTTTCACCAGTATAATTTATTCAATACTTGGATGTGGAACTTCTAACCTCTCAACACGAACTACTTGCTATAGTAAGTTCAATTCACGTAACCCTTCTTATTGAGTTTTTGAGCTGTGGATACTTTCCAAGTCAGTTGTTGGGTTGGTCTGATGTAGTTCTTCACCATTAAAATTTGTGCAGGTATTGTATTTGTTAAGTTTGGAAGTTACTTGATTGGCAACAAACAACGTACTGAAATTTTGTGTTCACGTTGCGGTAACTTACTTCCATGGACTTTTCATCTATGAGTTATATTCAGATAAGTCATGAATAAGGAGAGAGAATGAAAGATACAAGTAATTGTTTCTCTAGTATACCCCTACAATAAAAGAGTGCAAATGTTGGCACAGTTCCTGACTTTCGCCCTGGCCACTGTTTACACTTGACTTACTTCGAAGCATACAGGCTCGCTTCCTCCTCCTGTCTCTCCACCTCCTCCATTTGGGGTGGCTTTCCCACACGCAACCTCAGACTGGCTGCACCAACATGATCTCTCTCAAAATTGAAGTTATAAAAAGAAAATCTCATATATTTAAACATTGTTCCTCATCCAATAAAATGGTGACCGCTCAATCTGATTCTAATATTAACAGGTCAGGATATAAATATATATAGCAGGGATTGAATCTACACGGTTAATTATTGAGTGAAAAATTTGTGTTCATGACAGAAGATATAATCATGCAGTTTCAGACTCGGCTGCAAAAAAATTGTTTTTTCTTCTTCACATTTAAGTCTATTTGCCATGCCACTTTTACTGATCTGTGCTGTAGTTTTACTTAATTATTAAGAAAAAGAATGATCATTTAGAAGTCCAATTGATCCAAGTATTTATTGACTTGGGGTTTATACTCGTAAAATTTTAATATGCCCAGGTACTGGTTCTAATCAGTTTTGGCTTGATTGTGGAAATGGAATAGTCAAAGAGCTGCTTGAAATCTTACATTTGTATTTGATGGAATGATAATGATTATTTTCAAATATTGCTTCATTTTTGTTCTTGGCTCATGCTCGTTTGGATATGGGGTCACGTGAGTTTATAGGGAAATTCGGAATCAGAATTCGAACGTGATCTTTACATCTGATCAGGGAAGTTTCTCATGAATTTAACATATTGATGCTTTGATTTGTTTTCGACCAGACAACTCTTTGTATCTGATTTGTTCATGTGTTACCTTCTTGAAGATTCTTGCACATCAAAATTAGCATTCCTTATCTTTTCCTTGCAGGTACAGGTTTTTGGAATTTAAGAAGAAAATTCAGTCTGTGACTTTTCTGCAACCTTAAACAAGATTATTTTAATTTTGAAAAGTTCAGAGTAAATGAAGAATAGACTGATTTTCTTGTCTTCATATACAGAATATACATCAAGGTTTTCAATTGCAAATTTGGCGAGGTTTCTCCAAGCAAGAGAGGAGATGTTCTCGATACCCATAAATTGGATTTAATGATTCCAATTATAACAAATTCCAAGCAATTTTTTGCTGGAATAAGTTCATGCATTTTCATGGTTTCTTACCAGTTGTACCCCCATTTTCTTCAGCTTGTTGACTACTTGACCTGGAAGTTACGGAATGATATTGACAATATATTGGAGGTTAGTTTTCATGATCCAAGTTCTATTTAACATATTAAGTTTTTGTTATAAATCATGGAAGAGTCATATCTCAATCATGGAAGAGTCGTAACTACTTTCGGTGTGGGATTTATATAGATTTGAAGTCTCCAACCTTAACAGCTAGCTATGACTCTCTATGATCTATAACAAAAACATATGTTAAATAGAACTTAGATCATGAAAACTAACCTCCAATAAATTGTCAATATCATTCCGTAACTTCCAGGTGCAATTATAGTCATTCTGGACCCATTATATGCACCATCTACAGTATTTTCTTTTCTATTATTTTCCTTATTTATTATTTTGGTTGATCGATTTTCCCATTTCTTCAACAGGATAAAGTCCTTGCATTTTCTGTTAAGCTGTAGCACTGTCCGAAATAGCTTAGAGACGTTGGATTTTACGATTCCTTTAAGCGTATTATTTGAATTCGGATGACTAAAGGAGGATTAGCTTTGGCGCTATGACGTTTGAATTTGTTACATGTCCAATATTCAATTTTTGCAGAATCAAACAGTTCTCTAGGAGCAATGTCACAATTTATCAAATATTTGGTAAGCTAGAGCTAGAGCTAGACTAGAAAGAACTACACATAATATTCTCCAATTCTGTTGAGTCGACGAGTCGTGCTCTCGAACGGACTTTTTTCGAACTTGATTTGTAAAGCATTTATTTTTGAAACCAATAACTATATAAACACCAAGAATTGGATAAGGGATTTCTTTTAATTGAGGGATTTGCTTTTAACAGTAAAAGTTGAATGGGCTTAATTGGCCATAAGCCACACAAGTGGCTTTTTCTGTCGTAACAAAGTTGGCTGAATTAAGGCAATTTTACTGATTCTTTCTGTATTCACAATTACTTGAGTTTTTCTTTTTTAAACTTTTTAAATTGGAACCACACAAGTGGCTTTTTCTGTAGTATTACTACTGCACAACGCCTATGACGACTGGATATTTTCTGCGGATTTTGGGTTCCAGTGCATTCTATTGGTAATCACGATGCAGATGGTTGTGGAGGAAAAGGAAATCGGGGAGGGCTACTCGATTCAGATGATGATTGTCTACTAGACCTTAACGATCCAAACTATAGCAGCAATGAGGTAATCGACCAACATCTATTATCATTTTTTTTTTTTTTTGCAGTGTTTCTTCATATAACAATTATTTGTTTTAAAAGAGCATGAAATCACTTCATTTTTGTAAAATATATGGTTTCAGAAGGACAAGAATACTATTTCTAAGAAGACAAATTCGACATTTGACGAATACAAAAGGAAAGCTACAATGATGACGCTATCTCGACTGCCAATGAGTTGATAGAACTTGAAATGCCAAGCTATAGCTATTATTTTGTCAAAAAGCTTGTTTCTGTTGCTATGGACAGGCACCACAAAGAGAAAGAAATGGCTGCGGTTTTGTTATCTTCACTTTATGGAAATGTAATTGATCCTCCGCAAGTTTATAAAGGTTTTCAGAAGTTCGTGGAGTCTGCAGATGATTTGATTGTGGACATACCGAGTGCAGTTATTATTCTTGCATTATTTTATTTTTTTGATCGGTAAATAATTAATTATATTTACCAAAGCTTGTATACACATACACCGGGCATTCCCGGGCGAGAAATCAAACCTCAATGGATCAAAGTACCAAATACATCAAATACCAGGCATGCCCGGCTAAACAAAAGAGAGACATATCACATTTACAAAGCAAGCGCTAAAGACTCGTAAGGAACTAAAACATGTGGATACAAAGTAAACATAACTTTGTATATGTGTGTTTTAATCCGTGTAACCACGCTATCAACTTGTGTGTTAAGACCTTCAAAAAATTTCCTATTCCTTGCCATCCATAAATGGTAAACGGTGCTTNTATTCCTTGCCGTCCATAAATGGTAAACGGTGCTTGCAAGGGCGATCTTCTTTGCCTTACTATGCCACGTCGTTCCCCTTGCTTCTTTTATCATCCACTTGAAGGCACTTGGGAGTGTAGACATGGAGCGTCTAATCCCAAGCCATCCTCAAACTTGTTCCCACACTGAGGCAGTAAAGTGGCAAGCAAAGAAAAGGTGTTGTTCCGTCTCCACATCATCATTACAAAAACAACAATTTTTATCAATATCTAAAGACAACAGTTTTTTTTTAGTAAGCAGTTTTGACTGTGCAGCAAGCCATATAATGAATGCATGTTTGGAAGTTATCGCAGAATTCCAGATTGTACATGCCCATATTGTTTTGGGTCCCTTCTTTCTGAAAAATTCATATGCTGTTTTGATGCTAAAGCTGCCAGAATTACCCCAACTGTCCAGCTGAAACTGCCATGTCCAAATTTCCATCTGTGCATTCTGGTCTTGAGGCTGTTCACGTGCATTCAGAGGCTGCGAAAGGCTGATTTCTGTCTGCCCATTATTGTGAGGCTCAGTGCGTACACTGATCCCCCCATTTTCCTGTAGGTGCTGTAGTTGCTGTGAGTTAGGCAGCCCTTGACCAAGTACTGGCTGGGAAATCTGTCCAGCAACATTATTTCCCCCAGTCATTGTAATCTACCCCCTTAATTCCAGTAGTTTTTTGATCAACGATGAGTCATCTTTCCTTCCCATATACTCCCAAATATTGCAACCATGTAAGAAGACATGATTAATCCACCTTTTTACATTGGATATTCCAAAGAGTTTTGGCCAAAAGTGCAAGGTTCCAACACTTCATATCTCGAAAACCAAGGCCCCCCTCACTTTTTTGGTAAGCATACATTACTCCATGCAACCAATGGTTTCTTCGATACCCACAAGAAGTTCCGACAAACAGCAACAATTTTAGAGACCACCATGGATGGAATAGATAGTATAGAAAGCCAAAAACGTTCCACTCCTTGGAGTACCGCTCTAATAAGTTCCGCCCTCCCCGCATAAGATAAGGTAGCCCTAGACCATGCTCCAATGTATCTCGAAATTTTATTGATACACAAGTTATAAGAACTAACCTTCAATTTTTCCGCCGCAAGTGGAATTCCCAAATACCGAAATGGCATAGATCCCTTAGCCATGTTGGTTGTTTGGTAAATATCATCCAATTCTTGTCCATGAACTCCCGCCGTATACAAATTGGACTTACTAACATTCATCCAAAGTCCCGACATGTCCCCAAATTTATTCAGACAATCCATCATAATGCTAACCGATATAGGATCCCCTCTAGTAAAAAGCATCAAATCATCGGCAAATGCTAGATGAGTAATCTTCAAAGGACCACATTTTGGGTGATAATTGAATTCACTATCCTCCGTCGCATTCTTAAGCATCCTTGAGAAATATTCAAGGCAAATCACAAACAAAAGGGGGGAAAGAGGATCACCTTGACAAAGACCCATTTTTCCCTTAATGTAACGATATAGCCCACCATTAAGTCTATGGGTGGGCAAAAACCGGCCAAACCCGCTCAAACCACCCAAATCGAACCAACCTGACGTGGTTGGGTTGGTTTTTTTGTTGTTTTTACACGGGTTGGGTGAGTTGACTGTGTATGCGGGTTGTGTTGGGTTGGGTTATGGGTTAACTCAAGAAAATCGAATAAAGTCGCTCAACCCACCCAGCCACTTTAAAAAAATAAAAAGAAATAAAATACCTAGAAAAGTAAAAGAAACTCAAAAAATATGAGTAGATAGTGTAACTGTGATTACCTTGGTGTATTTTAGATGAGGAGTTTATTGTTCTTCCCACAAGAAATGTAGTATAAGTTTTTTATGTTATATTAAATGCACTTTATTCTTTGCAGGCTTGGCTAATGAAGATTGAATAAGATAATAGATAATTTTATTTATTTACTTACTATTTAATCTTGTCTATTAGAATTTAGTATAATAGAAAATTGGAATACTTTAATTTTTGTTGACAATTTGTTCCAAATCGACCAACCCAACCCGACCAATACTTGATTGGATTGGGTTGGGTTGGATTTCAACCTTTACACATGTTGGGTTGGGTTGGGTTGGGTTAAATTTTTTATCAAACAGATCATGTTGGGTTGAGTTTGGATTGAGGCAAAAACCGACCCAACCCAACCCAACCCAACTCATACCCACCCCTAATTAAGTCCAATGGAATATGTAGGTAATGAGATGCATTCCATCACCCATCCAATAAACTTTGTTGTGAAGCCAAGTCCCTCAAGAACACAACAAAGAAACTCCCAATTCACCGAATCATAGGCCTTTCTAAGGTCAACGTTAAGAAGGCATCTAGGGGCCACCCTCTTACGATTATATTCCCTTAGAACTTCTTGAGCAAGATGAATATTCTCCATGATACTTCTACCCTTCACAAAAGCGGCTTGAGCTTGATCAATAATAGGCCAAAGCATAGGCCCCAACCTAGATGCAATGATCTTGGTGATACCCTTATAAAACACATTACAACAAGCAATAGGCTTATAATCCCCAACGGACTTAGAGTGATTAGCCTTTGGGACCAAAGCTACAACTATGTGATTAGTTTGCTTGAGTAGTTTACTAGCATTGAAGAATTCCAACACCGCCTCCATAAAGTCTTTACCAACAATGTTCCATGCCTTTTTGAAAAAGCAAGAAGAATAACCATCCGGCCATGGCGATTTGTCCTCCACAATTGAGTATAAGGCTTCCTTAATTTCATCCTCCGAGATGTCTTTAATCAAAGTTAAAGCATTCTCATCCGAAAGCCTAGATCCACCACTCAAGATATCATCACAAATTGGTGTTCCTGGCCTTTCTTTTCCCAGAATATCACATAGAACTTTACAAATTCCTTGGCCACTTCTTCCAAAGATGAAGTATAGGTACCGTCCTCCTTAGAGATTTTAGCAATAAAGTTCCTTTTAGCATTTCTTTGAACTATTGAGTGGAAAAATTTAGTACACTTAGCACTTTTAATAAGGTACTCACATTTAGCTTTTTGGGAGTAAAAACTCATTTCTGCTTCACCCAAGTCCCTAGCCTTCTTCCTCGAATCGACCACTTTACATTGTAGATCCTCATTACATGGATCATCATGTAGCTCCAGTTGAGCTTCTTTCAACTTAGAAGTAGCCATGCTAGCTCTAGAAGACATATGAGCAAAGTGTTTGTCATTGAACCTTCTCAGTTCACCTTTTAACAATTCCAACTTCTTACATAGAATGAATTGTTTGGTTCATCTGATCTCAAAATCCCATACATTGTGTACCACTTCAAGAAAATTTTCATGGTTAGCCCACATGTTGAAGAATCTAAACGGTCTTCTCATACAATTATCATTTCCGAAAAAAGAGACAACACAGGGTGAATGATCTGAGAAGCATCCCGAAGGTAAAAAATTTGCAAGATTATTAAATCCCTTATGCACCCACATATCATTAACCATAGCTCTATCAATCTTGCTCCACTTGGAATTGTTAGTCCAAGTATAAAAACACCCAATAGACTGCACATCTATAAGTCCCACATTTAAACAGACATTTTCAAAATCTCTAATTTCATATGGTGAAACATCTGTACGGTTGCTCCTTTCATTAAAATGAAGAACACTGTTAAAATCTCCCAAGATCATCCAAGGCAGTGAACATTCCAGTCCAAAATTCAGAATATTATCCCACATAGGTCTCCGACTAACAATGGAATGAAAAGCATACACAAAGTCCCACATTTCTTGCATTATTTATTGCACGAGCGGTGGTTGATGACATACTTCCTCCCTCATTCTTAACAAAAGCAATGGCCTGTTTGAGTAAGGACTCGAAGGGAGTGGATGTCATTAGAAGAGCTGAAAAGGGCTATTTATCGGCTCTTTTACATGTAGAAGCCATTGAGAGGCATTGGGGAGGTGGCAAGAACAAAATTGTCGAAGACTTAAAAGGTAAGATTAATAAGCTATTGGTAGAGGACATAGTAAGTGGTGATGTAAAGGAGGCATGTAGACGAGATTGTCAAGCGGGCTATTCTTATGGCTATGGAAAATAGGCAATCGGAAAACTGCCTTCCCGACTTGCTGAAGGGAGCTGCTGAAGAAGGTCTTATTAATTCAAGTCAAATATCAAAGGGATTTGGCAGAATTATCTACTCTGTTGATGACTTATCATTAGATATACCAAATGCAAAGGTGATATTACAGTTTCTAATCTAGAAAGCAGCTTCAGAAAGATGGTTGTGCGCCTCATCTCTATCATTCTAGCCGGGGAATCAAGCCGTTGAAGACATTAGGATTAAATCCTTCAAGATAAATGCTCAGTCGATAATTAAGGAGTACTTTTTCTCCAAGTGAGATTTCTGAGGTAAGTCATTGTTTAGAATCGGAGAAAGTTTCATTTGTGGCCCAACTAAATGCAATATTTGTGAAGAAACTGATTACTTTGGTCATGAACAGAAAAAATCGAGAGAAGGAAATGGCTTCTATTTTGTTGTCATCGTTATGTTTCCCATCGGAATATGTGGTTAGCGGATTTACTATGTTATTAGAATCAGCCGAAGACACTACTTTAGACATTCCTAGTGTTGTTGAGGATTTAGCAATGTTTTTTGTGTAAGTGTTATGCCATGGATCCAATCAACGTTGGACATAAACACTTTAAATATATATAATTGATGCATGTTTGGCAATATCTATTATTTAATTGAATTAATATTCTAATAAATTAAATAATAGAATCCGTAGATTCAAGTCTTGGTGATTTGTTAATCACGAGGATTTGTGATTGTGAGATACAAATTACAAATGATCGAATTCTAAATCGTCCATGGTCGAAGTAATAACGAGATACGAATATCGTTATTACGGATAGATCATCGCGTGTGACATTCTTACTTATGAAGTAAGTAGCTGATCTCACAAGTTAAAGTGTGGTGACACTTAAATGAACACGTGGATGTTTTGTTATAGAACAAAACATTGGAGACTCGTTGGAAGATTTCACATGGATAACTATCTGAGTGTTTGTTGTTAATCTCTAACGTTCGGTAGTGGAATTGGTCCTTTGACTTGAGGTCGTCATAGTACCTTATATGAGGACAGTCATACTTTGATGGTGTTGGATGTTACTCTGCCAAGGGTCGCTAATATAACATCGTTCGGGTATGTCAAGAATCATATGAAAGTTATGAATGATCAATAGAGGATTCGTCGCTCTTAGATAGTAAGAAATTATGATCTACATTTTATCCAGTTAAATTAATAATGAAATCATTGGCCAA